TCACCGATATGGTTTAATTTCCACTATTGTTTCTGTCGTTGAGCAGAAGAGGGCCAGGATGAATACGAGAAGGACGGGTTTATAGTAGATGATGTGGAAGAAGAGGAGGAAGAGCAGGAGGAAGAAGAGGAGAGGGATAGTGATGAGGAGAGGCAAAGGAAGAAAAAGAGGAAGAAAAGGTTTAAATTCTGTCATTTACTTGCGTGGTGTTTCTTCGTCTTGAACTTTCACCCAGTGGTAACTGTTATGCTTTTTCATGTTGTAGAGAATCGGAGAAGAATTATGTTCTTGATGAAGATGACTACGAGTTGCTTCAGGACAACAATATTACAGGCTTTCATCGCCCGAAACCTGTGAGCCTGCTTTTTCTTTGTTTGCTCTCTCTCTCTCTCTTGGTTATTTTGGTTGAGTTTTGTATTATTTTGGGGTGGGGTGGGGTTGTGGAAACGTGTTTAGATCCTGAACTTATTGCTTGAAAATATTTAGGGGAGCAAAAAGTTCAAGCGGTTGAAAAAGGCTGGTAGAGATAGCGAGCAGGATGAGCCTCTTGGCTTTTCTGATGATGAAGGAGTTGATAAAAGTGGGCGTAGTGGGCGAACTGCTGAAGAGAAGCTCAAGCGCAGCTTATTTGGGGATGATGAAGGTAGTTATCATACCCACTGCTTTAGCTTCTTGTGGTTTCTCATATTTCCTCACTTTGTATAAAGTATGAAGTACTTTGTCATGTTTCCAGGACCACCTCTGGAGGATATTGCTGAAGAAGAAGAACAACCGGAGGAAGAAGAAGATGGGGACATTGGTGAAGAGGATGAAATGGCTGATTTTATTGTGGATGAAGAAGAAGTTGATGAACATGGAGCTCCTGTGAGGTATGTTTTATCCTTCATCTCCATAATTGGTGGTTTTTATTTATGGGAGGAGTTAAATTGTTCCCTTTGCTTACATTAATATTTGCTGTTCAACTATTTTCAGGCGGAGGAAACCGAACAGAAAGAAGGCAAGACAGGCACCTGGAGTTTCATCCTCTGCATTACAGGAAGCGCATGACATATTTGGTGATGTCGATGAGCTTTTGATGCTACGCAAAGAAGGCCTTGCAAAGAGTGGTAGGTATGATGAATCTGGTGAGTGGAGGGAAAAGAGACTGGAAGACGAATTTGAACCCTTCATACTTACTGAAAAGTACATGACTGAGAAGGATGACCAAATCCGAGAGATTGATATTCCGGAGAGGATACAGGTCATTTAGCATGTTTACAATATTCTTCTATTCTAGCATGTATTAAGAATTTAAGATGTCCCTTCATGTTTAATCTTTCCTTATCTATAGATGTCAGAAGAAATCACGGGTCCACCTCCAACTGATGCAATGAGTTTAGAAGAAGAGAGTAACTGGATACATAGCCAGTTTGCTGCAAGTATGGTGCCATTGTTTGGAAAGAAGAGGGGAAGGGATGGGGAAGGCATTGATCTATCAAGAAAAATAGACAAGGGTGACATTTTAAGGTTCCTAGAAATGTTGCATGTACAGAAGTATGATGTGAGTATTTATTGCTTTATATTGTAATAAAATTTGGCTTTTTCTTAGATATTTGTGCCCACTTTTACTTCTTTTTTGGTTATAGATTCCCTTTATTTCTATGTATCGGAAAGATCAATGCATGAGCCTATTGAGAGATCCGGAGCTGGATGAGGCAGAGTTTGAAGATGGGAATGACATTGAGAAGAAACCTACACTGAAGTGGCACAAGGTAATGAAATTGCCATGGAAGTGAGAACTACATGGTATCACAAGTTTTTTTTTGCGTAGGGAGTGATCTTATTCATTATTTGCTATGCTTATTCTGGTGATTCTTGTGCTTCATAAAAGGATGTTTACGTTTTATTGTGCCAGACTAACCAGATTTTCTTTACACCGAAAATAATGATATTTATAGATCGATTATTTTTGACTCAAAGTTTGTCCATCAATTACACTTCCTAATTGCATTTTGACTAAATTCAGCAATAATAGATGGAATTGCTTCTTTTCAGGTGCTTTGGGCCATCAGGGACTTGGACCGGAAATGGCTTCTTCTTCAAAAGCGCAAAAGTGCTCTTCAATTATACTATAATAAGCGTTTTGAAGAAGAATCTCGGAGGGTCGATCATGTACAAAGACTCAATTTGAATCAGCAGCTTTTTGAATCAATAACTCAGTCTCTGAAGTCTGCTGAATCTGAAAGAGAGGTAGATGATGTTGACTTAAAGTTTAATTTGCATTTCCCACCGGGTGAGGTAGGTGTGGAAGAAGGACAATTTAAGAGGCCAAAGAGGAAATCCCAATACAGCATTTGTAGTAAGGCTGGCCTATGGGAGGTTGCAAGCAAGTTTGGCTATAACTCTGAGCAATTTGGGTTACTTATAACTTTAGAAAAAATGGTTAGTATATTTTTGGGTGCGTGGATTTCAACTTTTTTAAGGACAGGGTATGAATTACAGTTTGATTTATTTGCAGAGATTAGATGAATTAGAAGATGCCAAAGAAACTCCTGAGGAGGTAGCTCTTGGTTTTAAGTGTGCAATGTTTGACACTCCTCAGGTAGTCCTCAAGGGTGCGAGGCACATGGTATGCGTTTGTTCTTTGTTATTTTAGAATTTTCTGCTATAGGATTTATTCCAAATATCTACTCGAGTTCTTTTTGTTCATGGTTGTTTGAGACAACCCAGGCTGTGCACAAGGTTGTAAGGCATATTGTAATATCTAATTGAGTTCTTTTCATTCATGGTTGTTTGAGACAGCCCAGGCTGTGCACAAGTTTGTAAGGCATATTGTATGCATTTATTCTAATTCTCTTAATGGCTATTTTAGATGTTATTCTATATAATGTGTGATCTTCTACTTTTCACTTCTCTCTTAATTTGTTTAACCATTTGCCTACAGGCAGCTGTGGAGATAAGCTGTGAGCCATGTGTCAGGAAACATGTTCGTAGTATCTTTATGGAGAACGCAGTAGTCTCAACCAGTCCCACTTCTGATGGAAATACTGCTATAGATCCTTTTCATCAGTTTGCCGGAGTGAAATGGCTGCATGAAAAGCCACTGGTAGAATTTGAGGATGCTCAGTGGCTTCTTATCCAGAAGGCTGAAGAAGAGAAGCTCCTCCAAGTGGTTATCAAACTTCCAGAATCTGTCTTGCACAAGCTAATCAATGATTCACATGATTATTATCTCAGTGACGGTGTAAGTAAGTCTGCACAGCTCTGGAATGAGCAACGCAGATTGATCTTACATGATGCATTTTACAATTTTCTTCTTCCTTCCATGGAGAAAGAGGCTCGATCACTTTTGACAACTAGAGCAAAGAACTGGTTAGTAATGGAATATGGTAATCAGCTCTGGAACAAGGTGTCTGTTGCACCATATCAGCGCAAGGAAAGTGATGCTGCTTCAGATGATGAAACTGCACCAAGGGTAATGGCTTGCTGTTGGGGTCCTGGGAAGCCAGCGACTACATTTGTAATGCTGGATTCGTCAGGAGAAGTGCTAGATGTGTTGTACACAGGATCCCTGAGTCTTCGGTCTCAGAATGTTAATGACCAGCAGCGGAAGAAAAATGACCAACAACGTGTCCTTAAGTTCATGACTGACCACCAACCACATGTTGTTGTTCTTGGAGCCGTGAATTACTCTTGCTCAAAGTTGAAGGATGATATATATGAGGTATATATTCTAGAAAGCCTTTGTGATGTGTCTAACCATGCTACTTCCACAGAGTTAATTCTATTGGGGTTGACTTGGTTTTCAATTTCTCATTGTTCTTCCATTGTTACCTGGCACCCAATGCAATTATGGATCTGTGAAGTTTTTCAAAAGTATCAATTGATGGTATAATTCAAAATTAGCATAGTATAGTTATATCTTTGTTGAAAAATATCTGGACATGTAAGTTGGCTGGATGGTTGATCTTTTTTTTTATATCCCCTTCTTGGGATGCACAAGCTTGGAAAACATATTGGATCAAGACAATTTCTCATTTACTCAACTCAACTAAGCCTTGTTCCTTCTATATGGTTTAATTACAGTGAAACCTGTTCCACCATTCTATTTCTCAATGCCAGGTTCATTGTTAGCTTATGGGTCGTCATGTAATTCATTGCTACTTCAACCCCTGTTCTTGGCCTGTCCATAAGTCTTCTGGACCCTATAATTTGCAAAGGATCACTTCTTCATATTGGATCAAGGCAACTTCTCTTATCATATTACTGCTTTGTCTTTTGTGGTGACTTGTTGAGGGCAATTTTGCAGCCTACCTGGTCTCTGTGTTCATATCAAACTGAACATTTAGAACTAGATGGGGCAATTCATAAACCTACTGGCCCAAAAATTCCTCTAAGGGAATTGGATAAGGGCAGACTTATCCTACACAAAGAGCAAGCTTACCTGGCTTGCTCTTAGCCTTACCACCTTAGTGAGACCAAAAACCTCATGAACTTTCATATTTTTTTAGATTTTTTTTTCAAAAGCTGCTTTTTATTTATTTTTACATGTATTTTTGTTGTAAAAGGGGTCCCGAAAGCACCTGTAAACAGTTTTTTTTTTATTTTTTTGAGATAAGGTAAAAACAGGTGTTTTGGAACCCAAAAGATACACTACGATGTGCCCGATATGGGGCGTATTGTATTGATACTTTGAACCTTAAGTTAGCCTAAAAGCAAGAACGTCTGGCGTGCTAAGCGATTTACTAGGCTCCTGATGTGTGATGTAGTGAGTTAATGATGCATGGGATGATATAATGCTTCTGTTCTCAAATATCCAAATCATCTTTAGTTGCATAAAAAAGTATAATTTTCCATTTTATGCATTACTCTTTGTTAAAGTATTGCTCTTTGTTTTCTCGTTCTTCCATGGGGATGCTGTTTGAGTTGAACATCAACCCAATGTCTATTTTTCTTTATAATTTTTTATTTAACATGTGTTGTGGTCCATCTTCTGAGGAATTCTCAGGCTTTAGTTGTCATGTCTAAACGATTTATTTGTTGAACCTATGTCCTTCATAGTTGTTAGAAGGATGTTCAGATATTTGTCCAAAAAATGAAATTCATGTACACTGACATTTTCCCCATTGCTCTGGCAGATCATTTTTAAGATGGTGGAGGAACATCCTAGAGAAGTTGGGCAAGAGATGGATGGGATAAAAGTTGTTTATGGGGATGAATCCTTGCCTCGTCTCTATGAAAATTCACGACTTTCTTCAGATCAACTACCGGGGCAGTCAGGTTGCTGGAGTTGTATTTATTTTATTTTCTGTTTGTTGCCTATGCTTTTTGTTGCTAATGTTATTTTACTTTGTTTTTAGGTATTGTTAAGAGGGCTGCAGCTCTTGGTCGTTATATTCAAAATCCTCTAGCGATGGTTGCTACACTATGTGGTCCAGGGGGGGAGGTTTTGTCATGGAAGCTTTGTCCTCTGGAGCAATTTCTTACTCCTGATGAGAAGTATGAAATGGTTGAACAGGTAATGGTTGATGTCACCAACCAAGTGGGCATTGACGTAAATTTAGCTGCTAGCCATGAATGGCTGTTTGCTCCTTTGCAATTTGTTTCTGGGCTTGGACCAAGAAAGGCTGCTTCTTTACAGAGGGCATTAGTGAGATCCGGAGCAATTTTTAGTCGCAAGGAGCTTACAATGAATGGACTTAAAAAGAAGGTGTTTATAAATGCTGTTGGTTTTTTACGTGTCCGTCGTAGTGGGTTGGCAAGTAATAGCAGCCATATAATCGATTTACTGGATGATACAAGAATTCATCCAGAGTCATATGATCTTGCGAAGGAATTGGCCCACGAAGTGTATAAGCACGAAGTAGATGATGACCCGAATGATATGGATGATGATGTGCAGGAGATGGCAATAGAGCATGTAAGGGACAATCCCAAGGTGTTAAGAACCCTTAAGGTCAAAGAATATGCCACGGACAATAACCACACTAATAAATTAGCAACTCTTTGTGATATTAAAATGGAATTACTGCATGGATTTCTAGACTGGCGAAATCCTTACCAAGAACCAAGTCAGGATGAAGAGTTCTATATGATATCTGGCGAGACAGAGGATACCCTTGCTGAAGGACGATTTGTGCAGGCAACAGTTCGCAGGGTTCAAGCTCAACGAGCATTCTGTATACTTGAATCTGGTCTCACAGGGATACTTAACAGAGAGGAATTTTCAGATAAGCCAGTTCTTAATTTAACAGAGGAATTGAATGAAGGTGATATAATCACTTGCAAGATTAAACAAATTCAAAAGAACAGATACCAGGTGTTTCTAACTTGTAAAGAAAGTGAGTTAAGAAATAACCGCTATCTATATCCTCGAAATCGGGATCCCTACTACCGTGAGGACCTAAATAATGTTCAGAGTGAACAAGAGAAAGCCCGCAAGGAGAAGGAGCAAGCAAAGAAGCTTTTCAAGCCGAGAATGATTGTTCATCCCCGTTTTCAGAATATAACGGCTGATGAAGCTATGGAGGTACACCAATAGTAATGCTAGGGTTTACTATTTTTATTTCCATAAGGGAGAGGTTTGGAGCATCACTATTTTTATAGGTTAGACAACTCGGGAGCAGCACTATGGTGCTGTGTACAGCAGTTGCTTTCTATTATGACTCAAAGACAACAACCTGAACAATATAACTGGTTTTATGGGTCACTGTACTTTCTGTTTTAGAGCTCCAATCTTGCTTTTACACTAACATCTATAAATATTTTTTTTTGTTGCTTTTTGTTTGGGAAAAACTAGGAGGTCAATTGGAGGATGGGGCTTCTGATTTGGCATTGTTTACAACTTTCTAACACTGGATAAGTCAATACCCCCTTTTATTCTAAAATATCTTTGCTTTTTATCAATAACTTTTACAAACTTGACCCTTAATCACACCTTAAGTCAAAGGATAACCGTTGAACGGTCAGATCTTTGGGAAAAATTAAAGCTTCGTTTCCTAGATGGAATGCTGTGGTTTATTTTTTTCTTTTCCTTTTTCAAAATTTCAGCTGCCTTGTTTTTTTTTTTTGTTTGTGCAAATTGCAGGTAATTAATCTGACAGTTAAAAATTGTTTTTTAGTAGAGTTGTACATTGTAAAAAAAAGAAACTGGTGAATGCCACACCAAAAGGATTAAGTTTAATGACCTTATTGGTATATGTATTAAAATCTGTACAAGCTAGTTATTTGATACTTTACCCTCTTTTTATACAGTTTGGTGGCCAAGGCGATAATGCACTTGCACGTGCATGTTGGTTCCTGTCTTGTTTCCCTTTCAAAACATAATCCAACTACTGTGTTTTTCTGAGCATTGGTTCTTTTGTGTTTTGTTGAGCAGTTCCTTTCAGATAAGGATGCTGGCGAAAGTATAATTAGACCCAGTTCAAGAGGACCGTCTTTCTTGACCTTGACTTTGAAGATTTATGATGGAGTTTATGCTCACAAGGACATAGTGGAAAGTGGTAAAGAACACAAGGATATTACGAGCTTGCTTCGTCTTGGGAAAACATTGAAAATTGGGGAAGACTCTTTTGAGGATTTGGATGAGGTTGGTACCTGTTTTTCTACACACACACACGCACACGAATATACATATGTACAACGCCTCCCTACTAATCTAGTATTGGAGGCAGTTGCCCTACATAACCTGGTATATTTCTACCACATGGGGGCTATGCTGAACTATGCATCAAGTTGGGAGCCTTTGGATTAGCTACCCATTATCCATATTATCCAATTAGTCTACCCTTTTAGTTCAATTTCACATGCAATGTTAGCTTTTGCAGGTTAAAACCTTTTAATAATAAACTTGCCAAAAAAAGAGCTTTATACCGATCATGTAGCAAGATTTTTTGGGCTCAATTTGGTCCTGTTAATCTCGGATACGAGTCAATTGAGAGGAATGTGTGGGCCTCAAATTAATTTGACACATGAAAGATTTTTGGTTTTTTCAGCCTTGGTTAAACAATCTGACCTGCAACCAAATTTGCATGTGTGTTTTATGTAGTCCTTTGTATTCCATTTCTTCTGTTGATTATCCACCCTATATTGGGCTCTTATGCCGTTGGCTGTTGCATATCAGTTACCATATATAAGATGTTGGCTACTACTTGATTGAGGAATTATATTCTTAAAATAGAAATTTAAGCTCGTTGCATTTTTATCTATAACCATTTTCTATATGATAGCTTTTGGTTGTTAATTTTCTGGTAGACATGACTATTTGAGTGCATCATTTCAATTATTAGAAATTTCTCACAGTTTTGGTTTGACATCTTCCAACTCTATGTACATAACTGTAGGTTATGGATCGATATGTTGACCCTTTAGTAACACACTTGAAGGCTATGTTAAGTTACCGCAAATTCAGGAAGGGTACTAAGGCGGAAATTGATGACCTGTTGCGAGTTGAGAAATCAGAGCACCCAATGAGGATAGTATACTGTTTTGGCATTTCTCATGAACATCCTGGGACTTTTATTTTGTCTTATATACGGAGCACAAATCCTCACCATGAGTATATTGGTCTGTATCCCAAGGGATTCAAATTTCGGAAGCGAACATTTGAGGATATTGACCGGCTTGTGGCATATTTTCAAAGACATATTGATGATCTGCAGCATGACATGGCCCCATCTATCAGATCAGTTGCTGCCATGGTTCCAATGAAGAGCCCTGCTACTGGGGGTTCCTCTGGAGGGGCCTCTGTGGGAAGTGGTTGGGGTGCTTCTTCAGCAAACAGCACTGAAGGCGGGTGGAGGGGACATTCAAATTCTGACAGAGAGAGATCTTCTACACCAGGTTCAAGAACAGGTAAGCCTGCAATATCAAGGCAATTCTTAATTTCTGCTAATAGGGGTACAACTTGTGTCTGTATACCTTTTTCTTTGTAAGTGCAGGTGGTCAGTAGTTTGATGCAATTTACTGCTTTTTGTTTCTACATGTTGAATGCGTAGGCCTTCTATCTGTTTTTCTTAAGTGGATTTTGACTTGTGCTTTTAAGATGAATGTGGTGTTCTGACCCAGAGGTGATGCAATGAACTCTTCTGCGTTGCAGTCAAGTTGGATGCATCACACCCATTAATGTTTTTCAGGGGAAAGTCTGTCTGCCCTAGTTCACCAAAAAAGGTGCCCATATACCATACCAAATGTTTTAGCTGTTTGTATTACCATACAAAGTGTTGATAGATATATCGGCTCATCATCATCATCATCATCATCATTATCCATGCCTTATCCCAACTATATGGGTTGGCTACATGAATCCTTATTCTTCAATCCGTTCTATTTAAAGCCTTATCCACTGTTAATTTTCTAGTGCTTAAATAATTTTTTACTACTTATACCCATGTCCTTTTCGGTCGACCTCAAGCTCTTCTAGCCCCTTCGATGTGTAACAAATGACTTCTTCTAACTGGCATAGTTGGTCTTCTATTCACGTCCCAAGCCATCTCAGTCTACACTCTCTCCTTTTTTAACCTATTGGAGCTACTCCTTGGTTCTTACCAGTATCTTTCACTCTTAATCCTATCATTTCTAGTTTTTCCACTTAGCATTTGCATTTCTGCCTCATTCATTTTCTATATATGTTTCTTGACTACACAGCATTCTCCATAAACCATAGCTGGCCTTACAATTGTTTTGTAGAATTTTCCTTTTGATAAGTGGTATTCGCTAGACCTAGCAATTGGGTTGGGTCGTCAAATGATAGACCCTAATCCTAAATGTTCAGGTTAGGGTTTACCTAGGAGTCAATTCAAGTCACCCAAAAAAATAACTGAAATTTTAAAAAATAAAGAAAAAATACAAGAAAAATGCCAAAATTAAAGGAATTAACCTTAAAATTCCAAAAATAAAATAAAAACTTGAACATTTAACAATTCAAACAGCAAACAATAAAGAGTAAACACTAAATAGTAACGATCAAAGAGGGAAAATTTCTAACAATACATAAATAGTCCCAATTAGACCTAACAATCGGGTTAGCAGGTTGACCTATGACCCAACCCAACCCAGTTTTTTCTGGGATGGGTCAGGTCGGGTCATTCTCAAATTTAGGTAGCTAAATATGAGACCTTAACCTGTTTTTTTGGGTCAGGTTGGGTTGGGTTCACAGGTTGGGCCAACTTTTTGCCAGGTCTAGTATTTGCCTATCACATAAAAGTCCAAATGCACCCCTCCATTTTGCCCATCCTTCTCTAATTCTTTGGGTGACATCTTCCTAAATGTCTCCGTTGTTATGAATTATCTAAACAAGGTTCAGATAACCAAATTGTGGGTAAAACTCTGAAACCGAATGGGTCCTTTTGGTTTTTCAGATTTCTCGAACCGAAACTGAACCAAATCAACTGATTAAACAGTTGACCAATTTAAGTTTTTGACCAGGTTGAGTCTTTTTTTTTTTACTATGTGGAATATATTATAATATATAATATATTGTAAATGGGTTCACTATGATTCAAGGAAATATCTGAAAATCTTGCGATCAATTCATCAGTATCATTCACTTGTTAATAAATCAGGTGTCATTTGTCAAAATTTGTGTGGGTTTTGATCTATGTTTTAAAATGCGGAGGTGTGATGTGAGGTGTTCCACTGCCTAGAGGCGCGAGGCGTTCCCTTTCCTTTTCTCTTCTTTCTTTTTCTCTGTTTCTTCTTCTCTTTCTTTCTTTTTCTCCCCCTTCCCTTTCTTTTCCTTTCCTTTTTTCTTTCTTTTGCCCCCCTTTTTTTGTCTTTATGCATGAGGTGTGCATGAGGCGTACGCCTCTAGCACCTGAGATGTATGATGGCTCAGAAGTGTTAGCACCAATGGCATACACCTCAGGGCATTTTGGGGGTGCCTCACCTGGAGGCATGCCAATACATTATATATTATAAATAGCTTATTATAAATATTATATATATATATAATGAATATATTTGTACATATAACGTATAAGATATAGATAATATATGATATTAACCACCGTTTTTTTATGTTAATGGAAAACCGAACTGGCCCTTTGGTTTTTCATAAAATACCAAACTGAAACCAAACAAGTTTGGTTATCCAGTTTTGCTTATTTTTTTTATTAGTACTCCTGGTTCTGGTCCTTATTTTAAAACCTCTTGTTTCTAAGGCATTTGTCCATAGCATATGCATAATTTTGCATTCAATCCTTCATTAGTTTTATCAATTAAAACAATGTCATCCACAAACATGTACGATGGAACTTCCTCTTAAATATGTTTGGTGAATTCATCTATGACTGGTGGAAATAGATAAGGGCTATGTGCTGAACCTTGGTGAAGACCCATAGTGGTTGACTAAATTTTTAAAATTTTTATTTATTTTTGTAAGTTGTTATTGGTTTACAATTTATGTTATGTTAGTGTTACCTAGTTTATTACTGCTTAAATGTTTTAATAATGTTAGAATTTGTTATTATAAATTAAGTATAATATTGTTGTAATTAATTTTGAGGAATGTTATTGTTAAAATCAAAAGCAGTTATTTATTTCGAATTTTCTATTATATTGAGGGCAAATTTCTTATACTATCCTCACTGTTTATCTAATTGACCAACTCTACCCTTACTGCTTAGCTATTGCTTTAAACTACCCCTACTGTTTCTCACAATTGAGTAATTCTACCCCTGCCGTTAGTGTTTGTTAATGTTCTGTCAACATCCGTACACATGTAACAAACACCATGTGACTCATAATTTTTTTTAAATCCAATATTACCCTCCCCCTCCCCCTCCCCCTCTCTCTCACTCTTTCCTTTGACCTTCTCACGAAGAGATGGAACCACTGGCTTCGGATCTGTTTTCTGGGAACGGCATCTGGAGGTGTCTTCGAGAAAGGGAGAGCCGGTGGCTTCATATGAGATTTGATTTATAGTTTTGTACATCCATAAATATCCAACAGCAACGTGAACTCTGAAAGCAATTGAGCTTTCCTCTCTTAGTACTCTCTCTGTCTCTCGGAAACATGTATCCATCTAACACAGGTTATATGCCAGCAGAACCACCCAAGTTCTCATCATCTCCAATGGCCATGGCAGCATTGTCCACTCCTTAGTTCAGTCAACCCACACCCATCGGCATCTCTGATGGATGTGCTGCTGGCGGCCTTTCCAACTCAAATTCATCAAGGGCAGTTCCCTTGGTCTACTGGCCTTTGCAACTGCTATGATGATGCTATGCTTTATATGTGTAAAAATTTCTGGTTTTTCCTTGTAGCTGGATCTTCTAGAACAAACTTTCTAGATCTTCTTTCAACATCCGAGACCGCATGCTCTGTCTTCATTTCCAGATTCTCTCTCTCCCGCTCTCGCTCTCCCCCCCCGAGCCCCCACTCCATCTGTCTCTCGATTTCAAGCTCCAGTTGATGATCATCTTTCCTACTTAGAACATCAAAACTAACTCCTGTCTTTAGTCCGAATAATCCTAATTTCAACGCCAACTCCGGATCCCAAAGATAGATTTTGTTTTGATGTATTATAAATCTCCGCCACAACAAAGACAGATTTCAGTGCCAACTCTATCACAAGAAAGATTTTTTCTTCCAGATCCAAATATAAACCTCCCAAAACCCCTAATTTTGCAGTGAGACTATAAATTAAGATATTGAATTGAAGGCCAGTCACTTTCAACAGTGGTAACACGCCATCCTTTCCTGGCCAATGCACGGAGACCAATGACAGAGAACACCAATTCTCTGGACAACTGATAGGGGAGATGAGCTTCTTCTTTCCTGACTCATCCTTGATAAGCTGAAAATCCAGGTTGAGGTGCTTGAAGTTCCTGTTGAGTTTTCCCCTTTTCTCTGTTTGATTTTGAAAATTTGAAGAAGAATAAAGGGTAAAGTAGTCTTTTTTGTCTTTCTGTTAATGGACATTATTAACAAGGAGGTTCTAGACAATTGTCAGAAAACTTGGGGTACTTTTTTAAGACAATATGTAAACACTAAGTGTAGAATTGGTCAATTAGCTAGACCATAAGGGTAGTTTAACAAATTTGCCCTTATTTTAATAGTTTTGGAATGGAATTTAAATGAATAGTTTTATAATTACAAACATTAATTAACTAACATTAATTAACTAAGTAATCAATTTTACCAACTATTATTATTAATTGAGTTTAGCATACAGTAATGCTTGTAATGTCAACACATGTGAATAGAAAGTAATTAAGAGAGTATTTAGGAGAGGCTTTATGGATTTTTGGGTAAATGGGTAGTGGGACTGGAGGGAAGGGGTGATAAATTTAGGAGAGGCTGTAGTGCTTATTTTTAGGTAATTGGGTAGTGGGAACTAATAGGGGCAGTGGGAGCCTTGCTGATATGGCTTAATGAGTAGGCTGGGTAGGGGTAATGGAGAAAGGAGAGTTGGTATTGGTGGTGCCAGCCAGGTGCTCTTAGGCGCTACATAGGCAAAAAGGAGAAAATGTTTTTATTTTTTCCGATCAATAAACTTTATTAGAAAACGAAGTCAAATGCAAGGATATGTAGAGACATCCTCTCTTAACTCTCCCCCAATTAGCTCAAACACTACCAAAGCAAGGTAAAAAACTGGTACAGTTGAACTGAACTTGAGCCTAGAAACTAGAGGCTCTATTTACCCCTTCTTTTGTTACCCCATCAGCAAAGAAATTGGCACTTCTTTTGACCCAAAACAACTTTACTTTGATATCTGGTGTTAGCCACTTGAACTGTTTCCTTTCAGGAAACTTCATTTTGATGTTTTCTAAAAAGCGGCTTGCATAATCCGAGGTGAGACGTTCATCAAAGAAAAAAAAATCTGAGGTGAGACTATTGCTTGTAAGAGTTGGAAAACTCTTATAAAATGCTCAATCAAGCAGAGGATATGAGAAAATGCCTACATGGTGCTGGCCTGGAGGAAACACCTTTTAGAAATGGCATTTATACTTTGTGGTTAGAATGTTAGTTGTTGTGACATTACAAGGATGTGTGGCCTTTATGGTTTCAGATATTATTGTGGTCATAATAATAAATAGAGTAATATGCTTGTTTTATGCAATTATGCATCTTGAATTTGTGGTCTAGAATTATGCTCATCTTTTTTCTCAAAAAAATGCGCTTATCTTTTTTCTTTTTCATTTAACAGGCAGAAATGATTACAGAAATGGTAGTGGAAGAGATGCACATCCAAGTGGGTTGCCTAGACCCTATGGCGGACGGGGACGGGGCCGTGGATCATATAATAGTAAGGGAAATAATGGTAGCAATGAAAGACATGATTCTGGTTATGGTTCAAGATGGGGATCAGGTTCCAAGGATGGGGATGATGGATGGAGCAATTTTCCTGGTGCTAAGGTTCAGAATTCCCCTGGCAGAGAAGCATTCCCTGGTGGGTGGGGAAGTGGTGGAAGTGGCACTGGTGGTGGTGGTGGTAGTAGTGGCAGTGCTGTTGGTGGTTGGGGAGGTGGGAATGGTGATGGTGGTGGAAGTTGGGGTGGGGCTGGTAGTGGTGGGGGTTGGGATTCTTCTGGACAGAAAGGTGGTGGTGGTGTAGGGGATACTGGCTCTGATGTTGGTAATTCAGGGTGGGATGATGGCTCTAAGAGAAGTTCATCTCGGCCAGAGGGAGGAAATGGTTGGTCTGGAGGTGGTGCTGATGGATGGGGTGGCGGAGGTGGTGGAAATGGTGGTAGTGGCTGGTGATCACGATATTTATTGATGAAGTTGCACAGGGAGAACTGCAGCCCTATGTTCTGAGTAGGTGATTTTTGTTTTTGAGCCGTTTTTTTCCTGAACGGAGGTTATGATGCAACTATATTTTGCATACAAATTGAAAAGTTGTATATATGTATGCTAGTGCGTGGTGGTCTTTCCTCTTAATTTGTTTTTTTTTGGGTATCATAGTGGAAAACCATCTTGTGGATTTCATTCTCTTCATCTTGAATTACATACAACCTTGGGCAATTATCAATTTTGAAATTTGTCGCATCACTTGTGTAATTATCTCCAATTGGAATAACTGTTCAATTGTTCTTTGATCAATTGAGCAATTGTTTAATAAGAAACTGGAGCCTGATTCCTGAAATGTTTGTGTAACGTGGGATTGGCCTTTCATTATTGTTTTTGTTTTTAATTATTGCTTGTCGTTCTTTGATCAATCGAGCAGTTAACCACTACCTTGGTCTTGGTTTTCCTCATTTTTCTGTGCCCTTTTGACGCTCAGTTTGAAGAATGCAAATACAATATGTGCAGTGCAAATACAAGGTTTAGAAATTGGAAATACCTAAGACTATTCCAAATTCAGGGAATTTGGTTATTTCAAGCTGAGTCTAATGGATATTTCAAATTCAGGGAATTTTAGCCAATTTAATTTGCCACCAGTATTGCATGTCCAAGTCTATTTTAAACTTGATGGATGTCCCAAACTTCCTGAACTTAACGCATCTTTGTTCAAAAGACGATTGCATATCATACGATATAATAAGTTGCGTTATGTATCTCTTCGAGTCAAACTCTCCCTGTTCTCAGATTTATAGAAAAGATGGTCGTTCTCAGCCACCATCAGTAAAGAGTCTGGTGACTCCGGTGACCTTGCCTTTTCATACAAACCATTGAGAGTCAACCCATCATAGTGTGCTCATGGTGACTATTAATGATAGAGCCATGGATCCCGTGTGTCTTGTCCATCAGATGGGGTGTATTGGACTCTCGAGGAGAGTGCTTACATTTTTTTTTTCAGTTTTTTATTTTTCAAACATGTTCTTCACAGGTCGATACAGGGCCTAGGTATCCCTCGAAACTGGTCAAACCCTGAAACTGTTTGCATTTTGTATATCAGTGATCCATTTATATGATGTGTGTGTAAGTTGATACTTGCAAAATTTTGATCCTTGATACCTGAGTGTCAATTCAACTAAAATCAATTATAATAAAAAAATAAATAAATTAATATTAAAGGTATTGTCAATAAAAATATATTAAAAAAATTACATTTTGTTATATATTCATTTAGGTTCGTGAGCTGCTCAAGCCAGGAATTACAAAGCTTAAACTTGACTTGGCTAACTACCTGACTTTCTTGACTTTTACTTGAACACTATTATTTGCGAGTCAAGTTCAAGTATTTAGTGAATAGAGCTTGATTAGCTTGCAAGTAGGATCGATTTGTTTACACCTTAGCATTAGGGGGTGTCCTTTTTCTGGATTTTAAGAGGAGGGAAAGTTGGTCAATGGGATTTTGATTCCGATTGACTAAGAATCCCATGTTCTTTTTTCAGATTTATGTGGAGACGAGGGAAGGTTTATTTTCCTATGTATCACTTACCCAGGTAAGGTAAGTGATACCCATCTCCTAGGTGGGTAAATAACTTTTCCACTTGGGGGGAAAATTACCAACGCTTGAATGAGACAAAAATACCCCTTTTAATAATGATTTTTTATGGCTAAAATAGTCATTGCCTTATTTACATGGGAAATAAAAGAACATGGGTAAATATATTTACTCGGGTAAGTACATTTACCTGGATAAATAATTTAGCAAAAAGCGAATGGGGCTTAAGAGGCAATTTTGAACTGGGAATTATCATCATCTTAGATACAACTCGGAAGTGTATATACTAAACCTGGGCAAGTTTGGAGGATGAGAAAACAATGTCACCCTAAATGAAGGAAAAAAAACAATATTGAACTCACCAACCTACATAATATACTTCTGAGGATCTTATAATAAAAGGCAAAGGGAAGCAAATCATCTTCCTCTTGGGGACAATATGAACGAACATAAACGAGTTCATATTCGAAAACAATATTGTTTTTTAGCCCTTAAATCATTTTATTCTACTTTCATCCATGTCCTTTTTTTGGCTTGCGCTTGTAATAGTCCCTTCTAACATAAATAATTGTTGAAAATTCTAATCAAAAGATAATGCAAGGCATGATGGAAAATGAATTGCCAATAAATGAAACCAAATGTTTTCAACCCACCATCGACTTGGATGGTTGAACCGTCACTTTGTCCTATTTTCAGCTCTGTTATTTCTAAAGCCTGAAAATTGACAAGTAAAGCGTTGGTTTTGGTGAAAAATCGTCTAATACTAGCAGTTGAACTATTGACTCATTCAATCTGGTCAGGGGTTACAAATTATAATGTGTTAAATTTTTAAGGGTCATAACTTTGCACTCAATTGTTTGATTTGGATTATTATTATTATTATTTTTATTTTGGGTAGTTTTTCGAGGGCCCGAACTTCAGGCTTTTTATGAGGGCCCACCTCGGGCCCAAATTGTAGGCCTGATGGTCGGGCTGGGCTCGGGCTCGGGCCTTGGAAGAATCTGTTAATACAGAGTAAAAGCCCAGCCCAGCCTGACCCATGAACAGGTAAAGTCCCCACATAACTCTGAAAAATGAACATAAGATTCTTGGTCAATAAGAACTAAAATCCCATTGACCAACTTTCCCTCTACTTAAAATTCAAAAAAAGAATGCCCCCTAAAAGGGTTTTGTAAAATCACTTATAAACAAATGTATGAAGGCTCAAAGATAAGAAAAGATACACCCTACATTGAATTGGGTCTCTTATCAATGCTTTGAACCTTAGTTGTTATTAGTGTTTTTCTTTCAATAATTTTATGTTTCATTATGTTGATTTAACCATATCAAAATTTCAATAGAACAGCTATCATTAATCATTACTCATAATAGACTCCAATCATTTGAAGCATTTATTATTTTTACTTTGGTAATAAGAGAACCGACAAAGTATCAAATAAGTAAATACTAATAAAAATATGGTCAATATATGCAATGAAAATTGAGTCTAGATCTGAATTTTAGATAGTATGAGGTTTTGAGAGATGGGAGTAAGGTCATGTTAGGCACAACCTCACCTGAAAATCAGCTTTAGGATGGGTTAGGGTGGATCAGGAAGGGTTAAGGTTTTGGGGCTTTAGGTGTAAGCCTAGGGTCAAGCCCAAACTATCGAACCTGAGCCCAGTCCCAACAACATTTTAACACACTTAGGTTAGGCTCGAGTCCGAGCTGGAATATGTGGGTCGTGCTGTGTCAGCATGGCACGATTTTGTGGGTAGCCTAATGCATTGTAGTGGGTCATGGCATGAGCCTTTGTTGTGGCGGGTGGAGCCATGTGCCTAGATCAGGCAAGGCCATGGGTCTAATCAAAATTTGAGTTTTTTAAGTATTTTGCATTTTATCGCGGAGACTTTTATAAGTACCCACACCACAAGATAAGCGAACTCCTTAATTTAATGTAGTGCATTTTAAAACGTAATATATCGTGGTCTGAGCACGGTACCAAACACCTACTAAGTCAGCACCTCATTAAAATATGTGATAATCAGGCCTTCTTGCTTGGTTAGAATTTTTTTGTAATATTTAATATTTTTTGTGTATCTTTTTCTTTTGTTCGTTTATAAAAAATGTAAGATTTAAATAAAGGGAATTGAATGGGGTAAAAAGTAGTATTTCAATTTACAATTTAAATCTCATAAATAAATATGAACTAAATTCAAAAATGAGTATTTTAGTCGAAAGAAAGTTCCACAATCTTATTCATATTTTTAATAGAAGTGTAAATATAGAGTTTTTGCCACCATTTTGATTAAAAATGTTTTTGTTTTTCGGTCAATTTTAAATTATATAGGTTTATATTGTTAAAAATATTGACACCGATCTAATTTAATAAGATAAAATGGGGATTAATAATTTAAGTATAAGACTTAATAAGAAGAGATTAAATGAGGTGATAAATAATTGAAGTTACATTTTCAAATTTACCATTTGAGACAGACTAAATACACAATTATGAGCATTTTAGTAGCCATTAAAACTGCCATTAAAGTTGTAATAAAATGGCTTATACCCTTTCTCAAATAAGTAGAGGGTAATTTTAGTCCAAGAAAAAGTTTTACATATCATTCATAGTGTGCACGTGGCAATTCTTGGGCTTCATTTGGTTCATAGGAATAGGGGTCTGGAATTGGAATCGGAATGGGCTATTCCGATTTCAACTGTTTGGTTGGGCGGAATAGGAATCCCATTCCATTCCTGTTGGAATGGCATTCCCCCATTTGAGGGAATGACCATTCCTTGCCCCTCCCTTGGGAATGAAATCTCATTCCTGCTGATTTTAATTCCCATTTCCATTTATGTCTGAACCAACAGATTATGGGAATGGACAATTTCGATTCTGATTCCAATTCCGGAGGATTTCGATTCCAATTCCGATTCCGATTCCGACTACGAACCAAACGGACCCTAGATGATGATAATGATAGGAATAATATATCCAAAATCTTTGTAGTGTATACTTTTTTTGTTTATTTATCAACAAAATGTAAGAGTTAAAGAGATCATGTGGGCTCCTCAAGATAGAGAAGATCATGTGGGCTCAAAAGGATACAGTGAACTGGATGACTTTTGGAGATGGGAGTACAAAATATTTTCATGATGTTACCATGAAGAGAAGAACAAGGAATAGAATCTTAAAATTGAAAGGTGAAGATGGGATTTGGCATGATAATGAAGATGGGATCAATCAAATCATGAACCAACATTTTATGGAAAATTTCAGAACATCATCACTAACAAATATGGAGGAATTCCTCGGCTGTACACGAGCGATTAAATATGAAAGATGAAAATAGGGAGTTGGAGAAAGAGATTATTGAAGAAGAGGTGAAGAAAGCCTTGTTTTAAATGGATCCAAAGAAGGCCTCCGGTCTAGACAGGCTCCCAAATTTTTTTTTCCAGAAATTCTGGGATAATAGTAGGCTTGGTTGTCATAGTGTAGTTGAGCAGTTTTTTGAAAGTGGACATATGTTGTAGGAGCTAAATAACACCTTCATTGCTCTTATCCCAAAGGTTAAGAATCTGAAGCCATTAGTCTCACTACATAATTTTTAACCATCTGCCCTTCTCTTTTAAGGTCTTCAGTTTTTGTTTATAAGTGTTTGTAAAAACACTTATAAACAAATGTATGAAGGCTCAGGTGATCGGTTTCGTTTTTCGCCAAAATCGGATTTTGGCCAAAAATGTTGATTTGGTCAGCAAACCGTTGACAGTTCCCA